GAGGGACAGTAACTGCGTGTGTATATGTAAGCGTGTAAAACCTGAAGATAGTCAGATTAACAGTAACAATATTTTGTCTCTATCTGCCATTCTGCAACTCATCTCCTGTAAACAATAACGTGGCGCACAGCGTGACGTGAAAAAAGGCACATACCTTTGACGTTGCGTGACCAGCTTTGTATTCCTCGTCCACACGTAAATGCAAAAAATGAGTTTTAAAAAAAAATCTCAGTTTTCGGTGATTCGAAACGCCGTTTATGTGTGGATGAAACAGCTGCGTTTTCACAAATACCCGTGTAGGTGTGGACGTAGCGTAAAAGAGTTAGTAGTTTATTTTATTACTACCTGTAATTTATTGCAGATTACTTGTATTTGCTTAATTGTTTACTAAATGTTTGAGGTGTGAAATAAACTGCAATGGAGCAAAATATGGCTGTGTGGTTGGAGGACGTGTTTGTGGGGCACGAACATTTTTCTTGTAAAACAAGGGGGGGCCCAGCAAAAAAAGTTTGGTAACCACTGCTTTAGAGGATGTCATCATCCATTCATAATGTCATGCATACATTTTCCTAAAATTAACATTATTGCATTCTTGTTGTAAACAACCTTTTTCACCTTCATAAACCTGAATTTAAAGGTCTAGTTATTGCAATGTTACTTTGAAAAGCAACCTATAGTACGAGTTGACTAAAATACACCAGTTTTACGGTGGACCCAGTAATTATCCCGCCTGATGCAGAGGCTCGATCACGTTGATCAGAACTTTCCTAAATTAGCTGAACTATTTATAATAAAGCAGATAAAAGGATAAACATGCTTAACATTGTTTCAGTCTCTTAACCACATGGAGGTGTAACTGTGTTTATGTTGTGTGTGACTCCACTTGCCATAATAACCACAATGTTGGTCTGTGGAAGAGCAATGGCGCCCTCTCTCAGAGGCAGTGGATAAATGCACTGAGAGATGAGCATCAGGTGGGTTGTAGAGTACAGCACTGTGTACGATTATGGGATATGAACATCTGTGTAGCCACTGTGATCACTGTGAATTATTTAACTGTTAATAAGAAGCATTTAAGTGGATTATTGAAGCTGGGAGTGTTAAAACAGTGACATAATAGCACTGGCTAGGGTAGCTCTGAAATTTCTCTGCTACAGTAATGTGCTTGTCAGGGCTCTGTGTGCGGGCAGGCGGAGGTGAGGATCCAAATGCAGAACTCGGAAACTGAATGCAACTCAAAACCCACAGCTTTATTGCTGCCAGAAAACAAAGCAGAAACCAAACCGGGAAAAACACAAACTAGAACAAAGGCGAGGTGGAACAGGATCTGACGGCGGTGTAGCAACCGCAGGAGCAGACAAGGCGGGACCAGAGGACGGCGTGGCAGCTGCGGGACCAGATGACGTTGTGGAAGTTGCAGGTGGTAACGCTGCAGGCGACGGCGTGGAAGTTGCAGGTGGTGGCTGAACAGACTCTCCAGAGCCATCAGCTGACACGAGGATGTGCTGGCTGGGTTCTCCAGGACCCCCAGCTAAAACACAAGACGACTGGACGGGCCTCTCAGACCCTCCAGCAGAGGCAGACTGCTGAAACAGTTCTCCTGAACTGCCAGCTGAGACAGACAGCGGCATGGGAGCCACGAAATGCTGGATTGGCTCACTCGAGCTTCCAGCAGGAGCTGATGCATGGTCAGAAGGCGTTGAGGCCCCTGGCTAAAGGTGTAGATGAGTGGCTGACTGGATGGGTGACAACACTGGAGTCTGAACTGGTGACAAAGCTAATGACTGCGCTACTAACTGAGGTATTGACTGAGCTATGGACTGTAACAAAGGTTGTAGTGATTCTGATTGTGATAGTGGCTGAGTGGCTGACGGGGCTGAAGACTGAGCTACAGGTAGCAGGGCTGATTGTGGTGGAGGTGAAGACTGAGCTAGCGGCAACTGAATAGGGGACTGGGCTAGTGACGACACAGAAAACTGAACAGGGGGCGACTGAAGTTGAGGTGAAAATGGTAGTGGAGTTGGCGACTGGGCTCCAGGCCTGGTGGCTAACACATATCCATGTGTTAGAATGGCCCAGTCAAAGTCCAGATCTAAATCCAATCGAGAATCTGTGGCAAGATCTGACAACTGCTGTTCACAAACGCTGTCCATCTAATCTGACTGAGCTTCAGCTGTTTTGCAAAGAAGAATGGGCAAGGACTTCAGTCTCTAGATGTGCAAAGCTGGTAGAGACATACCCTAAAAGACTGGCAGCTGTAACTGCAGCAAAAGGTGGTTCTACAAAGT